TTGAATTAACAAAGTATCTTGCTTTCTAGGTCACATGTTGCTAAACCTAAGTCATGGCAAGCAAGACTTTTTTAAAGAGATTGTGGAGTCTTTTGCAAACAAAAGTGGGCAATCTACTTTATTTGATGCACTCTTTGAGAGAGGCATTTCTAGAGAGCGATCTTTCCTTGGCACAGATGATATTGGAAACATCAGTGTACATCCACCGGAACGTATGGAACTTGCTAGACATGATATTGGTAAGACATGTCACTTTAAGTGTATTTTGTGTATTAAGGTCGTGCTCATGCAGGTGTTAAGTATAGGTACTGGAACATTGCAGACTACAGTTGAGAACAAATTTGCTCCTAAAGTAATTTTAGACTATAATTTACCTCATGGTTATAAATGAGTTGAATAAGCCTGAGAACTCAACACCCAGCTATCTGTTAATCATCTACTTTTCTCGGTGCCTAATGGAAAATAGGTTAGTTTAACATCTCCAGAAGATGAAACCTTTTCTGTTAGACTAGATGGAGATTATGTGTGCAAAGGCTGTAATCTATAAGCAACCTGCTTATTTAAGTTAGAGACTGTTAGCTTGACATTTCAGGTGATTAAATGTAGTATTGCATTGGAAGAACTGATCTCTGGACAGCCCGCATCCAGATATATCAAATGGATATTTCAAAGAGGTTGTAATGCCCTTACTTCCTGGGCTATTTTAGGTGGTAAACATGAAATGGTGGGTATTTCTGAATTAAGCTACTGTATTCTGACAGTATAAACCAGGGGTCTGCCAAGCGTGGCATGCAAGGCCATTTTCCTCAGCATGCATTGGGGCTGGGGAGGCAGCAGCAGTTTGCAGCTGGCCCCAGCTCTGAGCAGCCCAGGGGTGGGCAAAGTATAGCCCATGGGCTGTATCTGGCCCGCGAGGCCATTCTATCAGGACCCTGCAGGGTCCCTAAAAAATTTTAGAAAAGTTAATATTTATCTGTCTTTGGTTCCTATCAAAAATGACAGGAGCCTGGGGCAGTAGGAACCAGGGGAAGCCTGGTGGGCTCCTGAAATAGCAGGGCCCACCCGACCCTGCCCCCCCAGCCAGAAGCCCCAGTAGGGGCTTCAGGCCTGGGACCATGTGGCTGCACCATACTGGAACCTCAGGTAAAGGAAGGGAAGGAGCCTAGGGAAAAGCGGCCCCTCCCCAACCCCATGGCTGGCGCTCCCTGATGCAGCCACTTGCAGCCTGCTTGGGGCTGTCTTGAGCAGGCACAGACAGCCCCACGCATGCAGCACGGGGCGCTGGGCATGGGGCAGGGGTGTGGCTGCTTTTCCCATGCTCAGCACCAGCTTGTAACCTGCCCCTACAGCCAGCCTGGGCCCCTCATTGGCTCCGGACTCGCCCATCGGGCCTGCACATGGCAGCGGCGGCGGCAGCAGCTGTGGCTTCCCTGCTTGCTGTGCTTCTGCCCACCCGGAGCTCATGCTCTGGGCAGCCAAGAGGTGGCGATGGCAAACACTGCCCAGAGCGGCAAGCGGGGGTGGCCGCAGCTGCTGCCACCGTGGCAGAGCCCCAGTGGGTGAGCCCTGTGCTGGCACGGGGACTAGGCTGGCAGTGGGGGCAGGTTAAAAGCTGGTGCCAAGTGTGGGAAAAGCAGACCTGCTCAGCGCCCTGTGCTGCTGCCACTCGCAGCCCGCATGGGGCTGCCTTTGCCTGCTCAGGACAACCCCACGTGGATTGTGAGCAACTGCAGCAAGGAGCACCAGCCACAGGGCAGGGCTGGGGCCACTTTTCCCCGCACACAGCACCAGCTCGTTCTTTGCCACGGAGCAGGGGGTTGGGGCGACATGGTGCCTCCCCGCCTGTACCACTGGGCTGGTGGGCACTGGGAGTGAGTGGGTGCATGGGGCCCAGACCAGTGTCTCAGGGCCAGCACCGCTGGGGCTCAGCAGGGCAGCAGGAGTACAGGGGCCCTGGGCAGCAGGGGCTCTATAGAGCCAGGTCAGCTCCCCCTTGTCCCTGCTAGTGCAGCCCACCCTGGCTCCACAGACCCCTGCTAGCCTGCACCCTGCTCTGGACCTCACTGGCACTGGACCTGAGACACTGGTCCCAAGATGGTGACCAGGGGGCGGGGCTACCCATGTGGCCCTCGACAGCTTGCCAAAACTGGGTAAGTGGCCCTCCACCTAAAATAATTGCCCACCCCTGAGGTAGTTGCTGCCAGTCGGGAGCCTGGGCTGTTCCCAGCAGGCATCCGAGACCCTGGAAGCCCTACTGGGAGCAGCCCAGGCTTTGTGGCTATAAGTAGCTATGCAGAGTCAGGGCCAGCTGCAGTTGGGAGGCTACAGACAGCTGATGCCTCCCTGGTCCTGGCCCCAGTGGGCGTAGTGCTGGCACCTGCTGCCTTCCCGGAACCGGCAGACGGCCGGGGCCAGGGCTGGAGGGCAGCAGCTTTTGTAGCTTCCTGGCTACAGCCAGCCCTGGCTCTGAGTAGCTGCTGACAGCCACGGAGCCTGGGCTGCTGCCATGGAAGCCCTGCTGCAAGCAGCCCTGGCTCCGTGGTTGTCAGCAGCTACCCAGAACTTGGGCCAGCTGCAGACATCTGCTGGCTCTCCACCTGGGCTCCAGGGAGGCAGCACATACCAGCAATGCTCCCCACTGTGCTGCCCTCGCTGCTTCTGCAAAGCAGCATTGGAACCTGGTGCGGTAGGGCGCAGCGGGGGGTGCAGAAAGTTGCCTGCTCCAAGCTCCCCATGGCCCTGCTACACTTCCCTTGCAGGCGGGGGCAGCAGCAAGGGACACAACCCTGCGCTGCTGCCCACACTGCTCCTGTGCACACAAGGGAAGTGTGGCAGGGCAGCTGGGAGCAGGCACCTTTCTGCACCACCCCTGCTGTGCTCTGCCACACCAGGTTCCAATGAGGGCAGCACACCAGGGAGCATTGCCAGTATGTGCTCTCTCCCTGGAGCCCAGGGCCAGGGTGAGAGGCAGCAGATGTTTGCAGCTGGCCCAGGTTCTGTGTAGCTGCTGACAGCTACAGAGCCCAGGCTGGGGGGCAGTGGCTTGGGGTTGGAGGCAAGGGGCACAAGCAGGGCATCCTGCCATGTACCCTCTGCCCTTATTTTGTTTTTCTGGCATGCTGGCACTTGGGCACCTTCCAAGGTAGGCATTGTGGTGTTTTTCAGCACTCTGGCCAAAAAATGTTGCCTACCCTGGGTATAAACAGTCATCCTTCACGAATGAAAAGTTTAAAAAAAACAAAAACAAAAGCTCCTCAAGTATGCATCTTACTACTTTAGATTTCTCTCTTCTAAAGTAAGAATTCAGTTAAGAGAGTGCTAATCTGTTGCAAACACTTCTGTGCTTTTCTGGAGGTCTGTCCAACTGCAGAAATAGTTAAGTGATAGACAAATTCCTCAGGTGCCTGGGTTAAGTGGTCTCTTGCATCTGAAAAACTAAACTACTATAGCAGCTCCCAAATACATTTTTTTTTGTTGCTTTTCTTTTTATGTTATTTAGGACCATCTTTCAGTTGCCTTGTTCTTGAAGATTTGAGAGTTGTTTACCTAATACTAGCAACAGCATTTCAATGTGAAAACTAAAACAGTTACTTTTCATACTAATTTTAAGCAAGGTGTAAGCAAATGAAATTGAGTGTTCAGAGGCTGTCGTGTAACTGTACCCAGGGCTGCAACATATATGCTCCATTCATGATACCTGATTTTGTTACCTGAAACACTTTTACTGAGTTGGTAAAATCATAGAATCTGTAAAATTTCACTTGGTGAGATGCTTATGGAGTGTTTTATACTCTCCCATTTCCCCTAATGTGTAATCCCATTGAGAACAATCTTTTAATATGCTTCTGTGGAAATACAACTTGTTGACCCAAGCTTCCTGATTCCTCTAACTCGGGATCACCGCAAGTCAAGAAGAGAAGCAGATTCAAAAACAACACCAAAAAGGTGGTTTCAGTGGGTAGGCATTTATTTAAATTATGGCTTCCAAATTGGAATTATGCCTAGTTTTGATTATCTGGTGTTCTGCTGATTTATAAATATTCACCAGTTCTTTATTGCTCTTAGGTGCTGTTCGAATGCACAACGGTAGTCTCCAGCACCTTATATGGCTTGGTTTACAGTGGAATTTCATGTCCATTTTACCTGCAATACGCAGGTGGTTAAAACAGCTCTTCCACTTGCCCCAGGAGACATCAAGACTTGAGACCAATGCTCCAGAATCAATTTGCTTATTGGACCTTGAGGTAAGGAAACTATTTTTATTTGCTAACACTTATAATACAGTGTAAGTCTATAGTTTGACATGTACTTGTCTTGCAAAAACAGGTGTTTCTACTTGGGGTGATATTTACTAGCCACTTACAGTTGCAAGAGAAGTTTAATACTCAGTACAGTTCACATCAGCCACAATTTTTGCCTCTACCAGTGAGCAAACAGCTTTGTACTGAAAGACAGAGATCCTGGTGGGAGGCTGTTTATACTGTTCTTCACAAAAAAGCATTGTAAGTATTTATTTTTGTTTTTTACTAATTCATTTAAAATTGCTTCTAACATGGTAACTTGAATTGGGCAGTTTTAGGTTCTTGAGCTTTATTTCATTGCTTTGTCTTGCTCACTTGATGAATTTCCATATTTCATTGTTATAAATAAAGACTTCTGGGGCAGCCAGGAGAAACTATATAAACAGGGATTTATATACTTGTTTTACATCTGGCTTGGTGCATATTACAGGAACTAAAACTTGTTTATTCATTACTGTAGTTTGAAGACAAAGGACAATCTCCATAAAACAGTTGTGATTTAATCAAGTAACATGTAATCTACTTTTCAGACCTGGCACAGCAGCAAAATTGAGGATCCTAGTCCAACATGAAATAAACACTCTGAGGGCACTGGAGAAACCAGGCCTTCAGCCTGCCTTAATCATACATTGGGCAAGGAGTCTGCAAAAGACAGTAAGTTGACACCACTTAAAGATGCTGCTATTCCTGAATATATCTGTACTTTTAGCTTCTCTTATTGCTATTCTAAATTGTGCTAATGTAGTTCTCGGCAGAAATAAATGGGGGCTGTAGTAGATGTCCACTTGATCATGTATTCAAAGATGAAACATCTTTCTCCACTTCTTTTGCCAACCTATATTTAGTACTTTTTTAAAAAATTATTTTAGTTGCGTTTTTCTTTTTTTCTTATATAGGCTTGCTCAGACTGCCTGAGCTAACCTTAGCAGCAGTAAATGAGCTGGAATAAAAGAGCTTTTTAGAGCTGTGTTTCATACCTTAATAATGTTAAATTTTAAGTAAACTTTTTAAAATTCTGCTTGCTTTCACAGGGCAGTAGTCTAAACTCTTTCTATGACCAAAGGGAATACATTGGCCGAAGTGTTTATTATTGGAAAAAAGTTTTACCTATGCTGGAGATCATCAAAAAGAAGAAAAGCATTCCTGAACCTGCTGATCCTCTGTTTAAACACTTCCATAGTGTAGACATCCAGGTACAAAAATAACTAGGACTATAAAAATGAAGGATGCTAAGTAACCTGGGGCCACTTCTAGTTCCTCATGCAGACAGAGGTTTAATTTCAGATTTTGGATTTATTTCCCTTTTGCAGCCCTGCCCCTCAATTACTGCCCTCCAGTTTATCAGAAGGTTTAATTTTGTCAGGAATTCTTCCTTCTACATAGTTTAAAAATCTCCTTATAGCTTCAAGCTGTTGCTTTTCCCTCTTAAACCACTTTCTTATAACTTGTTTAATTGCTTGAGCTTACAGTTTTTTTTATGCTTTAGGCCAGGGCTGTCCAATGTGTGCAGGGGGTACACACAGTCTGGCATTCAGCTCCTGGGCAGCATGCTCTTGTCCGTCCATGTCCTGTCCCC